GGGGAGCCTATTGGTACCAGAGCAACATCAACAACGTTTGGGGATCAAGCTAACGAACTACACTGATCTATTCATTGCAGAGGTTTAAGTCACCATAGTTCAGCATTTTGATGGTTGATCTTCCGATTTTGGGTGTTGGTTAAATCCAAGTTTTTCGTGACCAGTTTGATTACTGAAGGGCACACGATGGCCTTGTAATTCGTTTCTTGCGTCTGAGGAGGCTCAGTTGACGGCTAATGGGCCTCCGTGGCCATTGGGCATGTAAGTCGGTAGTAGCCGAGTAGCCTTTGCATATAGTGGGCATTATGTATGTGTATATGAATATATATATAATTATATAGATATATAATCTACAAACACATTAAAGACATGATATAGCTGTATTGATCTAAATATATATATATATATATATACATACCTATATATATATATAATATATGCACATTTATTATATATACATACCGTGATTACTGTGAATATGCCACACTGATATGCTCCTTTTCTCAACTTAGGTGACTTTGACATATTTCCAATCTAGGGAGGTTCATCAGCTTTTCATACATAATGCTTAACCTCCCAGGAGGGATTTAGGTACCGTAAAAAAACAGACATCCTACTAGCACAATGATGGGTCTATATCAGTTGCATCACTTGACATCCCAAGATAACGGGGATTCTAACGTTTCATAAGGCTCAAATGGGTTGAAAAATTCTAGTACTCTAAGTATCGTCGGTTTTCTGCCTGTACCCAATGATGGCTTGTGTGCACCCCATTATTACCATTTCGCGTGGGACCCCAAAATTTCCATCTATACGTTTCGGGAGTAAATGAGAATTATTGACTCATTTTCCCAGGCAGTTCCACTTTCCCACTGCGACAGCAGGAATTGCTGCAGAAGATTAGTGAAGGCACTTTGGATCCTTCCACGACCACCAAGCCTGGGGGCCCGGAGTGGAATACCGACGATACCCTGCAACTGATGTGCAACATTCACGCTTTCGAGATGTTCTTTTTTGAAGATTTTGAAGACACAGACCTGGGAAAATCCTACTGGTAGATGAGTGAAATCCCATTGGTTTGAAGGTGAAATCCACATTTTTCACGACGGCTGAACAAAGCCCTACAGTAGTTGACCAAGCCTAAATGTAATCATGATCATCCTGGTCGGGCAATTTTTGATGGTTCCTTTATTTTCAACCTTTTATTGCTGGTGAAATAATAACCCATTGCTTGAGTATAGCAGCTGGCTGACTAATTCCCTTGCATCCCAAACAATGTTTTGATATCTTTTTTTTGCCCATAAAATAGCTGATCCCTTGGATATCCTATGATATCCTATTCTATTAGTGTCAATTTCGATATCAGTTTTTACCATTATAGCGTATCCCATGGTATATCCAATGCCGTATGCCATGAGAAACATTTAGATTCCATTGTTTGTCCATTATACACATACACTATCTACTTTCCATAATTATACACCATTATACATCGAATGTTTGGTTGACGACCAGTTTAAGGACCAGTTGAGGCCTGAGGCATGAAAAAAACATATTCCATCCCGCTGTACTGGTTAAGAACGGTATCCCTTTCATTATGGATTAGTTCATTATGGATTAGTTCATTATTCCTAATAAACCAGGTAGGCTTTTAGCCTCGTAATATCTTTCATGTTTAAAACCATTTTGGTGTGATGCTTATAGAAGCCCATTGAACAGTGCCTAATTCATATTTCATTGTGAACCCCTCTAACACCCAATCAACAATTGTGTTCATGGCTCAGCTGTTTTCCCCTCAACAGTCACCATCATAATCCCTGTTTCACAATCAATCAACCCTGATATATCCGCTGTATCAGCATTTTACTGACAAGCTGCACGTACGCCATCGTCAACACGTGGGTTGTTTTCCGATATTGGGGTATGGTCATCAATCCATTGATAGGGATTCACTTACCCAGTACAATTATATAATTTCTTTATTGACCATAAACCATATATCATGTTGTTGTGTAGGTACCTATGATATTCCCATTATATAGCCAGTATATCATTGTATATCCCATCTTTAACGGGTTATAAATCCGTCAAAAAATATTGCTTTGACCTGGGCACATCTCAAGTTTGGTGTATATCCCATTGCGTTCCAATTATTATCCCTATACACCATTAAACCACTAGATATTGTTGGTTATATAACCATCGTTGGCGCAAATACCACTCATGCCATGTCAAATCCCTTGTTGATTTATCGCCACTAGCCCTATTATGATCTCATTGTTGATGGTTAGCTCCTGGAGGTTGACCATATTGTTGGTTTATATACCATGACCATGGCACATATGCTGATGTTTAAAATCCCTATGACAACAGAGTTTGAGGGTTAACTTTCATTCAATGACGATTTTTGAGCGTTAAGCTCCATGAAATTAAGCGAGCATGATATATGTCCATCTGATCTCTTTTTTTGGTGGTAAAATCCCATTTATGTGGCTTAATTTTCTTAATTACGTCCTCTAAATCACCATTAGATGCCATTAAATCCTATGAACCCAACCATTAGATGCCATTAATCCATTAAATCACCATTAGATGCCATTAATCACCATTAGATGCCAAAAACAAATCCCAACCCCAAAGATCTTTTTCCAGAGGCTCCAAGAGGAGATGGATCGCATCCGAGACCGGGCGCAGCAGATGCCAGGCTTCATGTGTGGAGCCCCGGTGAGCCTGGCGAGATTGGTGAAAAAACTCTGGTTATATATGGTTAATATATGGTTAATATATGGTTACCCTCTGGTTATTTAACACAACCATGGAAAATCCCTTTATAAATGAAGGTTTATAGCTGGGAAAATCATCTATTTCTATGGGCCATGTTCCATGGCTATGTTAAATAATCAGAGGGTATCATTCATTAGTTATATCACTTATACTGTAGGAGTTATATCAAATCATTGATAATAGCTAGAGGCTATATATAGATGATCTATAGATGTAGGAAGCTGATATGATATTACTGATATTATTGATATTACTGATATGATAATTGTATCTGGTTATGTGTGAATATTAACTGATATAAATGATGAATGATGAGTTATATCAAATATATCATTGATAATAGTTTGGTCATATGAGTTATAGTGATAAATAATGTGGATATCACGTGATATAACTAATGAATGATGCTTGATTGATGATTTCAAGAATCAAAACATCAAAACATGGGGATGAAAATTCTGTGGATGGGCCAGCAAAATCACCACTTGAAAACGGTAAGTTTATCCCATCTATAGGCTTTAAACCATCCCAAATTGGTGCAGGATTTCATCGATTTCATCCATCCTGGTGGAGGATGTAGTGTACGAACAAGGGGGATTTTTCAGCTACGATTTATAGATGATGTTCAGCTACAAGATTATGTGAGCTATGGTCAATACTCATGGTTAATAACCATTAATAGGGGCTAGTCATCCAATGGTTCATAGGGATTTATAAGAACCATTATAAGGATCCTTATTATGGATGGGATGACCATCAACCATATAGTGAGTATTGACCATGGCTCATGTGGGTTATTGAGGAACCAGCAGGATCTATGTTTTTGATCATGAAACAACATGGATACCCTCTGGTAAACATACAAAACTATGGAACATCACCATTTTCAATGGATCCACTATAAATGGCCATTTTCAATAGCTATGTTAAATTACCAGAGGATATCTATTTTTGACATGTGGGTTGATGATTATAGCTGTACAATGGGGATTTAAGCATCATTTGTAGAGAGTTGAACCGTGGTTGATTGGCTATGCAAAAAACATGGGGATTGCCACAGTCTATGAACTGGGAAATCCGTCCTTAACCAACCAGTATGTTGAGGGACCACAGAGGCTTTTGAACACTGCTCAATTGTTGGGGTTGCCATTGTTGCCATGGCTATAACTGGTATAATCCACATAATCTCTGTAGAAGACACGAACGAACCATAGATAAAGCATGAATAGATACAAACATAGATAGATCACGCAATCATGACACATGAATGCATCAATAGGTAGATGAATGCATTTTTCGGATGTATATATATATGTATGTATGTATATAAATGTGGATATATATATATATATATGTGGGATATCATCAAAAAATGTCTTTCTGGCTTTGTGAAAGGGGGAATACCACACCCACATCCAATGGTTTATCATCACGTTGTTTCCTTAACCTCACAAGTTGGTGTTTTTTTTCCAAATTCTTTACAAAGCCATATTCTTAGTACCCTCTGGTAAACTAACATTTTTCGAACTGGAAAATCACCATTTAGTTCGTTGATTTACCATAAAAAATGATGCTTTTTTTACATGTAGTTATCTTAAATTACCAGAGGGTAAGTATGGTTACAAAAAGAATTCTCATTTTTTGAGTTCCGTTTGTACACGGGATGTACATGTACTCTAGTTGTCGATGGCATAGATAATGTTAGAACCACTTTCCAAAAATGGACATGGGATGTTTGTGCGCCGCTGGGCGATAGATATGATGTACATACACGTACCTACAGACAGACAGCCAGCCAGGCATGCATACATACACTTGGAAGCATATGTGCATACACATGTATACATAGACATGACAGGTTTTATTCTTAGGTTTTTGTAGCAGTGTATGAATACGGTATATTTATAATATCTTTATAACATATTTACGATATATATATATATATGTATATATATATGTGTATATATATGTATGTATGTAGGTATATATATATATTTACAATGTATATATACGTATATATATATACATGTTTATATATATATATATATACATATAATTATATATATATATCTAAATACCTATATAATAGACTTTACAGTGCGCACAACTCCTTTAGTAAAGCCTTTCAGGTTTCATATGCTGATACTGGCATTGATAATATATATGCGTTGCTAAGAAGCGCGGATCTCTTAACACGCAGTTTTGATTATTTTGTAGCAAAGACATCCGGGTGCCGCAAAGCTGCAAAAAAATCCAGCGATGTCTAAGCTCATTATGGAACTTGTTGGTAATCTGATAAACATGTTATTCCAAAGAGGGTGATGATAGGGCATGCAGTAAACTTCCGTTATTGCAGTCAATGGTTTTGGGGCTTATTGCTTTGTTGGGCAATAGCAATGTGACTGAAGATTGGCCCAACAATCTGCAGCTTTCAACGAGCTGATACTGCATGGAACATGAGCGCCACCTTCGGGTTGGACACACACCCTTGTTGTTCAAGATTTGCTGCCTGCACAGCCGCGACAAGGCGTGCATGTAAGCATGGACTGGCAAGATGCACTAGGGCACTTGCGGAATCAAACAAGGAATGGATTGTATATACACAGTATATTTACTGTTTGATCTATCTTGAACTTCTTTTTCCACATTTTTTTTTGAGAACTGAGATGCGAAGACAAGATGGAAGAAAAGTAAGAAGCAAAGAAACGATCAGACAACAAGCCCAACAGAAAAGCTTGCAGACCTGATGCCTATTCTGGACTTTGCCTACGACTGTCCAGCTGAACGCTTCAATCCTTCAATTTAGTTCAAGCCGGAACTACTACGCAAGCTTACCTTAAAACGGCAATGGTGGTGATCCAGTTCCTTCAAGCTCAGAATGTACTTTGGTTCAAAACCAGGTGGATCAAAGAGTTAATAAGACACAAGTTCAAGGATACGTGGAACATCGAACTGTTTGACACTGGGTTGAAATTACACACCATGTCATCTCATGGAGTGCCGCTGCCAATGCCAAGTGAAAGATTGCTGGAAAGCATGAAAACAACATGAGAGAAAATTGGCTTCCGGGTCAAGCGCTGAACACAAAATAGATGTTTTCTTGTTTATGGAGGGGGACATTTCTTATAGGCACACTCTTTTAGTTTCTTTTCATTGGTTTTAACTCCAAATGAATCAATTTCATTCCAAATAATTCCTTTTTCATTTCAAATAACTACTTTTGTGTCCAAATAGATCTTTGTCATTAGTACTTTTCATCAAGAAGTATTTGAAGATTTTTTTTGATAATGTTCGAGTTTTTTTGTGTTTTCATTTTTTATCGGAACTTTTTGTTTTTTGTTTTGTTTGGAACTTTTTGGAGTTTCTTTGGAACTTTTGTGTTTTTTGTTTTTGATTTTCATTTGATTTTAATTTTGGTTTGTTTTTTGATATTTTTGTTTAATTTCTTTTTTATTGTTGGATTGTTTTTTGTTTAGAGTCTTTCCCGGGAGCGTCTGAGCGCAGGGTTCTTCCAATAGTGGGGGTCTGTATCTCATCTTGTCATCTTCACATCTTCTCATCTTCACATCTTCTCATCTTCACATCTTCTCACTTCACATCTTCTCATCTTCACATCTTCTCACTTCACATCTTCTCCTCTTCACATCTTCTCATCTTCACATCTTCTCATCTTCACATCTTCTCATCTTCACACCTGCTCATCTTCACATCTTCTCCTCTTCACATCTTCTCATCTTCACATCTTCTCATCTTCACATCTTCTATTCTCACATCTTCTCATCTTCACACCTGCTCATTTTCACCTTCTCATTTTCACCTTCTCATTTTCACATCTTCTCATCTTCACATCTTCACATCTTCTCATCTTCACATCTGCTCATCTTCACATCTTCACATCTGCTCATCTTAACATCTTCTCATCCTCGCATCTTCACATCCTCACATCTTCACATCTTCTCCTCTTGCCCTCTTGCCCTCTCCTTTTCTATTTCTCTTCTGAAGGCGGGGGCAGGGGCAGTGCCAACGAGACGGCACGAAACGCAACCCTTAAACTGAGGTAAGGTTGCGATTTGCAAGTCGTCCCGCGCACCCTTTCGCACGAAATGAGGTTCGATCGTCAAAAACTGAGGTTAAATTGCGATTTCAACTTGTCCCGCGCAACCCTTTCGCACGAAATGAGGTTCGATGGTCAAAAACTGAGGTTAAATTGCGATTTCAACCTGTCCCGCGCAACCCTTTCGCACGAACCGAGGTTCGATCGTCAAAAACTGAAGTAAAATTGGTTCTGGAGAGGCTTCCGGGAGGTCTTGGTGCTGAGCCGGGTCAAGTTCAACAGGGTTCCGGAGAAGGTTCCGGAGAAGGTCTTGGAGGCTTTGTTGCAAATCCAGGTTATGTTCAACAGGGTTCCCAAGAAGGTTCCGGAGAAGGTTCGGGGAGGCTTTGGTGCAGAGCCAGGTCAAGTTAAACAGATTTCCGAAGAAGGTTCCAGAGAAGGTCTGGGAGGCTTTGGTGCAGAGCCAGGTCAGGTTCAAAAGGGTTCCGAGAAGGTTCCGGGAGGCTTTGGTGCAGAGCCAGGTCACGTTCAACAGGGTTCCGAAGAAGGTTCCGGAGAAGGTCTGGGAGGCTTTGGTGCAAAGTGAGGTCATGTTCAACAGGGTTCCCAAGAAGGTTCCGGCGCAGGTTCCGGGAGACTTTGGTGCAGAGCTAGGTCACGTTCAACAGGGTTCCTAAGAAGGTTCTGGAGAAGGCCTGGGAGGCTTTGGTGCAGAGCCAGGTCAGGTTCAACATGGTTCTGGAGAAGGTTCCGGAGAAGGTTCCGGGAGGCTTTGGTGCAGAGCCGGGTCACGTTCAACAGGTTCCGAAGAAGGTTCCGGAGAAGGTCTGGCAGGCTTTGGTGCAAAGCGAGCGAGGTCATGTTCAACAGGGTTCCCAAGAAGGTTCCGGCGCAGGTGCAGAGCCAGGTCAGGTTCAACATGGTTCTGGAGAAGGTTCCGGAGAAGGGCTGGGAGGCTTTGGCGCAGAGCCAGGTGACGTTCAACAGGGTTACGGAGAAGGTTGCGGAGAAGGTTCCAGGAAGCTTTGGTGCAAAGCCAAGTCAGGTTCAACGGGTTGAGAAGGTCCTGGAGAAGGCTTTGGGAATCTTTGGTGCAGGGCTGGGTCAGGTTCAGCAGGTTCAACAGGGTTTCCAGCGCTTGGCTTCGCAGCACGCTTGAGAAAGGTTTGTAAAAATAAAACGTTGCGGCTGTTGGGGATACCACCTAAGCTTATTTTCTGTTCCTTTTAAGAGTCTTTAAGAGAGTTGCATTTACGCAAGTGTGTGTTGCCAAGGACCGAGTGGGAGGGACTCCGGCAGCTTAATTCATAATTCAGCCATCTGGGTATACCAGTGGCTGGTTTTGCTGTGCACGGAATTCATGCATGCCATGCATGTTTTGGAACCGCGGCAACAAGCCGCAGTTCGAATTCAACGGGCGTTCCTGCAGTACCACCGTCAGGCGGTACGGCAGGCGTTCCGGGTGGGCACCACGACCTTGGGGTACCTCAGGGCACCAAGATGCCCTGAGGTCATGGTCGCCCACCGAGACTGGGTCGTTGAAAAAGTAGAAGCTGAAAGCATGGTGAACCCCCCATTTCAATACGGTATCTTGAATGCCACAACAAACAGTCACCCAGCTTGCAGGACTGTCCCGCCAGTGGAGCGACTGCAGGCCGTTCCTGGCGAGAAGAATCGAGTGTGGTTTGCAGCACATAGATTTGATGTATCAACGGGACGTAATCCCATTAACTATATCCGAATTATATCCCAATCATTCCCAATCATATCCCATTTTATTGATACATCAAAGATCCCATTGCACCAAGCCCCGTATAGCGATCTATTGGTAACCAATAAAATTGGGATAGAAGTTGTTGATCAGCAAATCGTAGGGAGAATCAACCGCAGAAAATGGGTCACTACCGGGACTTGAAAACCATAAGTCTGGATACAGTAAAGCATGACGATCTGATAACGCGACATCACTGGAACGGTCTTGAGTGGCACTAGCCAATGACACAAAACAATATTACATGATTATACGAAAATGTCTGAATATGTTACCATCTTATACTTTAATGTACGTAGAAACTATATAAAATTTACATTTTCAGATAGACGGAAATGGCCTTAGAAGGATCACCTTTCTGGTTGGACTAAAAAACTGGCGGCAGGCTCCTGTTCTGAAGGGCAAATGAGAGTGCGGAATTCAGGTAGCGAGTTCGCAGAAATGGAAGTGGAAGAAAAAGAGCCCCAATGTTCCAGGTGAAATTTTCTGTTCGTTTTAAGAGAGTTGTATTTACGCAAGTGTGTGTTGCCAAGGACCGAGTGGGAGGGACTCCGGCAGCTTAATTCATAATTCAGCCATCTGGGTATACCAGTGGCGGGTTTTGCTGTGCACGGAATTCATGCATGCCATGCATGTTTTGGAACCGCGGCAACAAGCCGCAGTTCGAATTCAACGGGCGTTCCTGCAGTACCACCGTCAGGCGGTACGGCAGGCGTTCTGGGTGGGCACCACGACCTTGGGGTACCTCAGGGCACCAAGATGCCCTGAGGTCATGGTCGCCCACCGAGACTGGGTCGTTGATAAAGTAGAAGCTGAAAGCATGGTGAACCCCCCATTTCAATACGGTATCTTGAATGCCACAACAAACAGTCACCCAGCTTGCAGGACTGTCCCGCCAGTGGAGCGACTGCAGGCCGTTCCTGGCGAGAAGAACCGAGTGTGGTTTGCAGCACATAGATTTGATGTATCAACGGGACGTAATCCCATTAACTATATCCGAATTATATCCCAATCATTCCCAATCATATCCCATTTTATTGATACATCAAAGATCCCATTGCACCAAGCCCCGTATAGCGATCTATTGGTAACCAATAAAATTGGGATAGAAGTTGTTGATCAGCAAATCATATAGGGAGAATCAACCGCAGAAAATGGGTCACTACCGGGACTTGAAAACCATAAGTCTGGATACAGTAAAGCATGACGATCTGATAACGCGACATCACTGGAACGGTCTTGAGTGGCACTAGCCAATGACACAAAACAATATTCGAAGGAAGTTTAGAAGTCAAACTTCCGACAATATGGACAGATGAAAAGCAGAGAGCAGGGAAGAGGCAGAGAGAAGAGAAAGATTAGAAGAGAGAAGATCAGAAGAGAAAGAGTCA